GGGAACTGGGATCAATATGTAAAATTAGAAAAAGAAAAGAAAAAGAAAACCAGCCTGGTCTACTGGTCTATATATCAAGTTCCAGGATAGTCACAGCTACATAGTGAGATCCTGTCTCAAAAAAAAAAAAAAAAATCAAAACCAAAAAAATGCAAGTAAGTTTCGCAGGCACATATCTGAACTCTCCTCAAATTCAAGACAATTTCTTCCAGGGAAACAGAACTAAGAAGGACACAAGGCCACATGAATCAGTACTGAGAGATTATGCAATAAACAGCATGATAATAACTATGCTTAGTCACAGTGGCACAGTGGTTAATACGTATTGATGGTAAGTCAAGGAACACTGTCTACTTCAATCCAGGCTTGATTACAACCACATGGATAGACATTACGTTCTATGGAATGCATAGCAATCCACCAGGGGGAAAAAACCCAAGTTAATCAATCCAGATTGCATACATACATCAATGCTGTAGATAATGGTATAATTAGTTTATAAATACAGCCCTTTCCCAGTATCACTGATGGGAGCCGAAGTTCCTGACCTCATACAGCCGTTCTTTTCTCATTTTCCTATTTTTCCATTTGTGTACACACCTATACATGTTTGCAAGTGTGCATACATACATATAAATGTGTTATCATGCATATGGTAGCCTGAGGTTGTTATCAGTAACCATCCTCAACCCCTCTTCACCCTATTCATCGAGGCAGGGTCTCTCAGTCAAAACTAGAGCTCACTGATACAGCTAGTCTGGCTAGCTAGCTCACTCTGGGGATCCCATCTCCACTTTCCAAGGCTGTAATTACAGGTGGGCTGCCACACCACACCTGCCTGGCATTCATGTGGGTTTTCAGGGATGCAAACTCCTGTCTCAATGTTTGCACAGGAAGTGATTTAACCACTGATCAATCTCCCCAGATCTTTACCAGTGACTTAAACCAACTATTGTGTTGCTTGGGTTCATGTAAGTTTCAGCCTAGTTCATTTAATATTTGTGGTACATACACAATATACAATATTTAATGTCCATGGTACATGCATTATATACATCATTTAATATCTATGGCGCATACATGGTATACAAAGTAGATGTTATTAGTGACTCCTCTTCCTCCGTCTTTCCCCCCACCTCTTTCTTCCTCTGTCCCCTTCCTTCCTTCCTTCTTTCCTCCCTCCCTCCCTCCCTCCCTCCCTCCCTCCCTCCCTTCCTTCCTCCTCCCCCCTTCTGTCCTTGTCCAACATGAGAGAACTATGAGACTCAGACCCTGCCCAGAGGGAGCACCACTGCCCAGCAACCAGAGTGACTCTTAATCTATTTGCTATTCTCTCTCTCTCTCTCTCTCTCTCTCTCTCTCTCTCTCTCTCACACACACACACACACACACACACACACACACACACACAGAGCCATGGAGGATCCTTCTGTACTGCAGGTTCAGGATGATTCAGTGCCTTCGAAAGCTCTGGGGTTAGGTGTAACTAACAAACTTCCAGAGGTTCAGAGTCCTTGAGCCCCCCCCAACAACATTTTCATTGTTGAGCCTTCAATCAACTGTCCCACTAGACTGTGAAGTCCATGAGCACAAGTGTGTGCCTTGCTCATTTGACCTGACCTGACCGCACAGCACCACACCCAGCGTACATTCAAGAGTGGAGGAAAATGACCCATGCACAGTGACAGAGCTGGCACCCAGCAGGCCATGATTCTACTTACCTGCTGGTAAAGAATGCCTCTTACACATCTTTCCTTCTCTGAAGGCACATGGTGAAACCTACTTATAATTTAGAGGTCCAGGAATGGCAGGTGAAGGAACCCATCAGAGCCAACCTGAATGGAGGGAGACGGTGGAGGAAGCAAGGTGACTGAGGCTTGCAGGAGGACACATCACTTTCCTCATTAGACTCTAGTGACTAGAGGATAATCCCAACAACTTCTGAACAAACTGTTCCTCTATATGCCAGGCCCTGTGCTAAGAAAGCACTCAGAGCCTGTTACCTCACTTCATTTTCTCTACAAACTTAGGACACAGACACTTACTTCTCCCTTCAGAAAGGAAGCTAAGACATGGGTTAACTAAACCCTAAGAGGTCAATACAGGACTCACCCTCACCTTCCAGCTCTCAATACCATGTTTCTAACAAATAGCCTATTGCAGCAAGATGATCCCAGGGACAGGAAACAAGTGCTTGTACCTAGGGCAACTTTACTTAGCTCAGTGAGCTGATACAGGCTCTGAGAAAGGCCAATTAGGTGGGTTGAGGAGAAACACATTATATCTACAAGAGAGGACCCTCATATTCAGAAGTCCTCATATACAGGTGACTTTCTAGGTGCAGAAGCCCTTATATTCAAGAGACCCTTCATATGCAGAAGCATCCTTATATGCAGAGGTAGTCCTTGTATCCAGAAGGGGACCCTAACATACAGAAGCATCCCACGTATACAGGAGAAAACCTTATATGAAGAAGTCTGAAAAATGCCACATTGAGAAAGAGTAGGACCTAGTTAATTTTAATTTCATGCCCAGTTTGACTCAATCTGTTCCCTGGTTAAATATCCAACATCTTGGAAAGGTTAGGTAAGAGGCAGCTAGGGAAGATGTCTCAAAGGTCCCATTCCTTTCACACCCCATTAGGCCTATTATGAAACCTCATATTAAAGACTAGACCAAATCTGAGAAGACAGCCATCCCTTAGAAGAGATCAGTTCTGTTAAGCATGTGTGTCTAATAACAAAACAAAATAAAATAAGAAGCCAAGGTCTAAAGGACAGAACTTTGTTTTCCAAAGCCTTTTTAAAAAATTCAAAGGTTGTATTTTCACACCAGCAGTTAGAAAATGTGGGCAATAAACCAGGGAACGAGAATGCATTGCCACGTGGGATGAGGGAAAAGAGTAAATCTAACCTTTCTTCTTGATGAAGGATTTTCAAATGGACAATGAGACAATAAATGAGGACAATGATACATAAAATGCAGCAACAGATCAGAGTGGGCATTATAGTTTAGAGAGAGAGAGAGAGAGAGAGAGAGAGAGAGAGAGAGAGAGAGAGAGAGAGGAAGGAAGGAAAGAAGGAAGGAAGGAAGGAAGAAGGAAGAAAGAAAGGCAAGCACAGATTTGGCTTTAACAAGCCTGTCTTATTCATGTATTTTTATTTACCTTAGGAGGGAATGTGATACTGTGGCTCAAGGCCTCACTTTGCCACATCCTCACTTTGGCCTCAAGCTGGCACACATCCTCTGAGATTCAGTTTCTACACTGACTAAACATACAGAACACACCTGTTTCCTTGGGCGATTGTAAGCCTACAGTAAATACCATTCAGTGGCTCTTCAATGTAGACTTTTGTCTGTTTACCTTCTTTTTCTGTTAGTCCTCTTTTCCTCGGACTCTGTCTCAAGCATTTGTTTGTTTGTTTTTTTGAGACAGGGTTTCTTTGTGTAGCCTTAGCTGTCCTACAACTAGCTTTGGAGACCAGGCTGGCCTTGAACTCACAGAGATCTGCCAGCCTATGTCTCCCGAGTACTGGCTTCTTTCAAAAATTTCTATTCCTTGCTCTTATGTATGTATTGGTGGAAATATTTCTTATTTAATTGTTTAGTATTAAGAAAATCTATTTTCCTAATAGTTCATAGGTATATGTAAGAGTTGCATGTTTGTTTTTTTTAATGGATCTAGTCTATTATGTTGCATGCTTTATATAAGTAATGTTCCTGGGATGTTAAGCATACACTTTTGTGTTGCTGTGATAAAATCCTATGACCAAGGAAACTTATAGATGGGAGAGTTTACCTTGGCTTAAAGTTGAAAGACTTACACCATCCTGAGTGGAGAGGCATGGCATCAGGCAGATGTGATAGCAAGGAGAGCCTGAGAGATACAGCTTTAACTCTAGGCATGAAGCAGAAGGATGGATAAGAAGTTGTGGAGAGACTATAAATATTCAAAACACACCCCTTTGAAACATCTGAAAGGAGTGCCTCCAACTGGGAACTGAGTGTTCAAATATTCTATGGGGGACATTTCTCATTTAAATCATTACATAAGGTCCAGAAAATGACTCACTGGGATGACTCAAAGTGCTTGATGTGTAAGCATGAGAACCGAAGTTAAGATACCCCAATACTGTGACCCCAATACTGGAAGACAAGAGGATCCTGGACAGCTCCCTGAGTAGTCAGTCAGTCAGTCTAGCAAAAATAGTGAGCTCCTAGGGTCAATGAGAGACCCTGTTTCGAAAACACAAGATGGGGAGCCCTCGGGGAACACACCCAAAGCCAGCCTCTGGCTCTAGGCACAGGCATGGATACACTCACTGCCCCTACACATACACAAACCCCCTAAACAGAATGGTATAAATTGTTAAAACGTCAACTTCACTCACATTTTTCCTACCGGTTTTACTCAGTATCCTAAATAACAATGATGTTCAAAGAAAAAAAAAATCCATGTTTTATTCCTTTTTTGTGGTGGTGGTGGTGGTGGGGTGAGACAAGATCTCTCTATGTAGCTTTGGCTGTCCTGGAACTCATTCTGTACACCAGGCTGGCCTTGAACTCACAGAGAATTACCTCCCTCTCCCTTGATGAGATTAAAAGCATGCACTACCACACCTAGATAATGTTTTATTATTAGTAGTGTGAAAGTTCCACAAAAAAAAAATCCTACTTCAATTTATGTGAATCTTATTTGTAAACCATAAAAAACTAATAAACTCATTATACTTTGTTCATCCTAATTCCTAGTTTCTAGAATAAATTGGTGATGTCACCAAGCTAATGCCACTTATATTAAAATATAGATCTTTATTCTCTGGAATTTAGTGTGAAACATAGACATAGAATAAAGGAAGTCATGTTTTTAGGAAGTTATAATGACATATATAATGGACATTAAGTCAACAAACAAGACAAATAGAATTTTCAGAAGTCGTCCCAGAATTTCATCTTCTAGGCTTTGGGGTGAAGTAGTAGAAATTAATATCCAGTTTTTACCACTCATATCCAATATTCTTGCTCCCTAGAAAATAGAAAGAAGACAATAAGAATCTTGCAGTAAGCACATGTGTATTCCTTATTTCTTTGGTGAAGACAAGCCTTCTAGTGAATGTTCTACCTATTTGTAGCCAACCAGCAAACTAAAATACTTTTTATCCCACTTACTTTGGTGACTTTATGTCATAGTCATTGTTTTTTTATTTTGTTTTTTAAGATTTGAGATTTAACTTTTTAAAATTTATGCATGTCTGTGTTTAGGTATATGCACATGAGTGCAATGCCCTCAGAGGCCAGAAGGAGATTTGGATTGTCTGCAGCTGTGGTTATAGACAGTTGGGAACCATCTGACATAGTGCTGGGAACTGAACTAAATTCCTGTAAAAGAGCTCTTAACCACCAAGTCATCTTTCCAGCCCCAGTTATTCACTGTTTTAATGTATGCCAAACTTGTCTTTTTTTCTACAAAGAATGGGTCAAGAGACTTCCATAATGATCATTCTCTTTTCATGGATTTTTAACTTGTCAACTGTTGCAGATAGTTTCTTTGTCTCACCTAGGTCCTGCCACTTCAGCCCCAAATGGACACACAGATGCTATATTAATTAGAAAACTGTTGGCCAATGACCAATGCTTCTTATTGGCTGGCTCTGTCTTAATTATTAACCCATTTCTATTAATCTACGTACTTCCATGTGATCTTACATGGAGAAGGATCCAGACCTGTTACTCCTTTGGCAGCCTACATGGCAACTCTTCTGGCAGGCCCTTTCTGACTACCTTTCCCAGAATTCTCCTCATCTTAGTCCCACCTATTTTTGCGCCTCATTGGCCAGAAAGTGTTTTATTCATCAACCAATAAGAGGAACATATATACATAAGGCCTTCCCCCATCAGTCAACTGGGATTCCCATGAGAGAAGCATATGGGAAGACATGGGAGATGCAAGTAGTAACAACATCCTTCCAAAATGAATAGCACAGGGTCATTTGATTCCTGAAACTTGATCCTCAAGACCTTGATGGGAGATGTCATTCTATACATATGTTTCTCATACTGGTTAATGAATAAAGCACTGTTGGCCAATAGGAAAGCAAGATAGGCAGGACTATGAGACAAGGAGGATTTGAGGAAGTAGTAAGGAGGGGTCAGCATGTAGTGACCTGGGAGAGCACAACGCCAGCCCCTCTCCGGTAAGATGAGACCACGTGGAAATACTTAGATTAATAGAAATGGGTTAATACTTAAGACAGAGTTAGCCGATAAAAAACAAGTAATTGGCCAACAGCATTATATCTAATACAGAGTCTCTGTGTGTTATTTGGGGCTGGCGTGGTGGTGGGACCAGACTGGCAGGCGGGAAAAACATACCTTACAAGACCTCCCTTGTGTGTTCTGGCCACTGAGTGCAATATCATCAAACAGCCCTTTTTCTACATTTCCAGATTATAAAAACCTTTGCCTGTTTCATTTTGTTTTGAATGACTGGAATCTTAACAGTATGTACCTGTGACTGGTTTCCCACACTACAGTCATCTAATGCGGGGGGAGGGGGGGGCGGGTAACGCCATTCTTAACTTTTTTTTTACAGAAACAGAGCAGGTGAATGGACCCTTTTCCAAGCCTCAAACTGAGACTTTGTATACCCTCTCAAATGACCACAAATACCTTAACAGAGTGGCAAGATTTGCATGGTAAGTTATTTCAGAGCACATTTCATCACTCAAAACTAAAAAAGGCAAGGTGAGGGCTAAGAGAGACCAATGAACACTGTGCTAAAATCTCCTCCCACTTTGAGGAATCTTCATTGATTTCTCTACCTGCTGGCTCCATTCTTCATTCTGACAGAAGGGAACAACATGTTACCAGAGTTATACAGCTGTCATTGTCAGGGCAAGTACCTAGAATCTTTTCGGTCACTCACAATTTCTCTTTCCTGTGTTTCAACCAAAGAAGGGACATGAAAGACACGGCTGTTTATGAGTGACCTTCCCTTCCTCTCATAGCTCAAGCCTTCAGCCTGGGTGTCCTCAGTGAGGGCTCAGTCTGGGGGGGGGGGTCTTTCCATTCTTCTCAAAATCAGGAAAGAAAGAGTAATAGATAAGTGCTGGAGAGACAGAGGGATAGCAAGAGAGACCTATTTCTCACCTGAGATCCTCAGATGGTTGCAGTCAGCACAGCTGGACCTGTTTCCAACTCTCTTCTGCTCTCTTTGAACAAAAGTGCTGTGGGCACAGGTGTTCTCCTAGCAACCCTGGTTTCTGTGTCAAAACACATGCAAGGTTTAATTGGACTCCAAAGTGGTTCGGCAAACAGAGGAGCAGTGGCCTGCACCAGAAACTGCTATAAGACTTTAAAAAACAAAAGCCCACAGGGATGACTGTTGAAGATGCTTTAATTTTAAGACAGAATTGGGTGGTTTGGAAACTGAAAACTTAACAGAAATATTAAACCAAACTGAAGGATTTCCCCTGAAGGACAAACCCACCAGACTTTCTTAAAAAACAACTTTCTTGAATGTATTTTTGAACAAATTCTTCAGTATCTTCATGGTAAAACATCAATACATCTCCATGTAAGAAACCATAGCTTGTCAGACTGTAGAGCTGATTTTTAAATATTATACATTTTACAAAGTAGAAAATCAGGGGGTGGATTTATAATAACCAACAAACAAGCAAATAGACGGCTGTAGAATGTGGTCACTACACCATTAACCATGTAATTATCTTTCGTTTGCTTGGTGTCTTGAATATAAAGACACTGTGCTCAACAGTGCCCATTGCAGGTTTTTTTTTTCCTGCTCCAGTCACCATATCCCAGCTCTCTGATAAGCTATCTCTCTGGACAGGTTGAGTGAACTCTCTTCAAAAATAATTAAGGACAGTTAATTTTCAGATTTCTTTTTCTTCAGATTTTTCAATCTTTTTATATACACACTATATGTTGGGTACAAACTCTGAGTCTAAACCCAAGTTCCTTCATGTTTCAATGTATAACACCCATAAACAGTGTTTTTTTTTTAGCATATCCACCCTTTTATTGCAACCCATTCTGTCAGAATTGGACTTGGGGTCATCCAGGTGTGGGGTCTGATAGCCAGGAAGTTTGAGAGCTTTGGATATGGGGTCTCCATCTCTATTCCACAGCAGGCAAAGAGGTCAAGGTCATGGGAAATGAATCACATATTTAACACATCTACCAAGTAAATATATACAGGTAAAATTTATACAGATAAATTAGAAAATAAGAATGGTCACTAAACCATTTCTCAGCCATGGATAGAGCATACTAAATCCATTAAAATGATGGTTAATATACATATGGAAATCACAGAAACATCACTTAGAAGATGATGCTTAAATATTTTACAGTGTTATATACCCTGTATATGCCTATGCATCACACTTTTTGAAAGAACTACATGGCTTCCTTCAGAAAATCATGTATCCAAATGATCTTTATAGTATCTTTAACTTGAGATAACCCAAATGCCTATATGCCATGTCCATGCATATAGCATTTAGGGCCTTGTACCTGACTGGGAAGTAAGGGAATGAAGAAAAGACAGATACAGACACAAACACAGCCAAGCTGGAAATAGGTGGTCCAGTCTCTTGGCTGGAGAAACCACAGCATTCTGGAAGCTCAGGGTATTTATATAGAGTTGAGAAGAAAGGTGGGGTTATAGCACACAGATAAGGAGGAAGGGTTACTGCATACAGATACACAAGGAGGAAGGGTTATGGTATACAGCTGGATCATAGTAGGAATAGTCTCTGCAGGTGAACAGTTTTCATGCTATAAACATCCAGGGAGAAAAAGCTACAGCAGACCATTTTTGCATACACTATCACCATCTACATTCAGACCACGTACCATTGTCCTCTGAGCCTCACTCCAGGGAAGAAGACTTTGCTATTTTCTTCATCAGTCTGAGGCTCTCAGGTCCTTAGCATAGTCATGCTCATATTGACAGCACACATTCACTCGGGACTTCACTCACTCAGGTTTTCTGTGCTCCCTGCAACTGGGGAGACAGGTAAATGGCGGCACAGACATAAAATAGAATGCCATGCTGCAATGACAAATTATAGCAATAGACAAAACCTTACAAAGACAAATTGAACCCCACAAAGCAAGGCACACAAGCGAATACACAGTGTCAGCATTTTGACATAAAGTAGAGAGCTTGGGCACCAAGTCCACTTGCGGAGTGTATATGTGGGCAATAATGGCTTAAAGGGTAAATATGAAGAAGGGAATGGATACTGAGTTAATGTTCTTGCTGTAACAACATATATGATAAGAAGCAACTTGAAGAGGGGCTTATTAGAACTCATGGTGTGAGGGAATAGAGTCTGTCACAATGAGGCAGGAGCGTGACACATCTGGTCACACCGAAACTGCAGTCAAGAAGCAAAGAGAGATGTAGACTCTTCAACCCATTTTCTCCTTGAGATCAGTCTGGGGGATGTTGGCCATCCCTATTTTTGGTGGTTCTTCAGTTCAACCTCCTTGAAAGCACCTTAAAAAATATGACCAGAGGTGTGCCTCTTGGGTAGTTCCAAATGCACTCATGTTAACAGTCAGGATCTTCCATCACAGGGCAGAGGTGACTAAGAGGAACAGGCAAGAGCTTCCAGCCAGGTTTCATTTCTTGTCAATACACTCACAATCACCTTTTAACTACTTGTTATCCTGTATATAGAGTATGGTGCTGGAATGTTATGAGTTTGAAGCTAGTTTGTGCTCCATAGTAGGCTCCAGGCCAGCTAGACCTTTTCTCAAAACACAAATGGAAGGCCTGATGGTGGTGGTGCACACCTTTAATCTCATCAATTGGGAGGCAGAGTCAGGTGGATCTCTGTGAGTTTGAAGCCAGCCTGGTCTACGGAGCAAGTTCCAGGACAGTCTCCAAAGCTACCCAAAGAAACCCTGTCTCGAAAAAGCAAACCAAACCAAACCAACAAACAAATAATATCACTCCCCCAAAAGAAATAAGGAAACTCTGTGCATAAGAGTTTTGTGTGCCTTTCTGTATTTATAGTGGAGTTCATAATTGAAGAACTGAGGGTGGGGGGAAGGCAAGGAAAAGGTCTGCATATCTACACTTGGTTGGTTCCCATCTCCCATGCTCTTTCCATTTCTCAGGTCCATTTAGACAGAAGGCTATTGTTCCTACAGTGTTAGGTAACCAGAAAAAGTAATTTCACTGATAGTGTCCTCCCTGATCTATTCAATTTAAAGTAGTCCATATTGATTGATCTTGTTAAACTATCACTATAAAAAATACAAGCAAAATGAACATTAAATTTGTCAGTGACATGTTCCCATGAAGATACAGCATCCATAAAATCACCAAGGAAACATGTTCCCGTTTCATTCAAAACACCCATGACAAACAGGAACTTGGCCACATCTCTTCCCCTTAATTCTAGATCTGAATCCCTAGTAGATACAAGCTTGTTTGTCCCAGTATCAACTCTGTCAGCAAGAACACATACAGATTTTTACCATGGGTTAAAACATTGAACATCACAATCTTTTGATATCACTTTTTTTTCTCCTGTTGGATATGAGCATTCCTGGGGGTAAGCTATTTAGTAGCATCAATTTTCAGGAAAAAAAATTACTTCCTATTTGTCATTATTTTTCAATCTGTGATTTCTTTTATCTTGCTGACTTGCTTAAAATTCATGTGTATTTTTGCAGCATGCCTTATCAACCTCTCCAGATCTTGTTTTTAACTCAAATGTATTTTAAAATCATAAGACCGGACTTTTGATTTTTGATGTGACACTCAAGGTTATTTGTGGTCAAGTTTATTGTATACTAAAGCACAAAAAAATTACTTGCCCCATCATGAACAATTCTGCTTGTCTTTCCCACATTTTCAGAGGCCCAAAGGTGTGTGTGGAGTATTTTATAGACTGTTTTTTAAAAAAATAAAAGAGATAATAGCATGTAGTCTTATATTGAAGTTTTCCATCAGCTCCACCAAGATATTGGTGCAAACAATGTAATTCATCATCAGGTCCATTTGTTTACGGGGCAGCTCAGCGAGTGGCATCCTCCAAAGAGAGTGAGATGGGAAGGGTTGATGGTTCTTGGTCCCCAAAGATTTGTTTCTTCTCCTTTCTGCTGCTCCCAGCTTGCAAACCCTTGCCTCAAAGCCACAAATATCTTTTTTTTTTTTTTTTAAAAAAAATATGGAAATAGTACTGATTCCTGGGACCACAAGATAATTATATTTTCTAACTGTTTTGATCCCCCAGCAAAATAAGCAAGCAAACAAAAAAAAAAAAAAACTTTATTACATAGCAGTATTTCTAGTTCAGTCTTTCCTGTCAACCTTTTCTTTCCCCTTTCTTAGGTGTGTGGCTTTTGTTTTTTGTCAAGGCAAAGAACATCACGTGCTTTGTAAGATTGTTTTACTATAAAAAGAAAAACACTTTTCCTTGGATTCAGTGCAGAAGTCTTAGAACATATGAATCATGCTTCAAAAGAAATATTTCTTTTTGAGCAGAGCTTTTTAACCCTATTCCTTGTCTTCATCTGCAAGTAACAGTTAAGATTCACCAAGTTCCTTTGAGATACATGTTGAAGAGTGAGACCACTGAAAAATGCCACTGTAGTAAACTTTATTCATGAGGGTCTGCAGTGAATTGGACCCTTCATGTATTCTGGGGAGTTGTGGGATATTAAGTGGTCCATGGCTGCCAGCCTCCTGGGGTGGATGCAGACACACCCAGAATGCTAGCCTGCAGATATCACACTCTCAACTCTACTGTCTGGGTAACACTTCCCTCAGACGAGACATGGCTTCAAAAAGGGTCATATTTGCAGGGGAAACTGTTCGTGCTAGATGACACTAATAGCCACATCGTTTTACTGGTGCAGATTCCTCTCAATAAATGTGAATGGTCTGTAGGACAATGGGGTGCACTTGGAGCCTGACAAGGCTGAATTTTCCAGACTCTCTTTATAGCAGTGAAGAGTCATTTTACTCACATTCGGGCAATCTGCCCTCAGCCACAGGTCAAGATCATGCCTCACAATGAGGTCAGCTGGAAATAAGTTGTTTTGTTTCACTTGGTTTCACCTTGTAGTTCAGACCAGCCTTGAACTCCAAATGTAGCCCAGGCTGGTCTCAAATTGACACTCTCCCCGGACCTCCCAAGGGCTAAGATAGCATGAGTATGCCGCCAGCTATTGTTTGTCATCTTGTTTGTGACCACTGTCCCTTACACCTGAAGAG